ATGATTGATCCCCACTTTCTGTGGAAGCCCCAGTGCAGTGAAGGCACCAGTAGAGAGGAGAAGCAGTTACTGAGAGTCCTGCCTCAACTGTCTATGAGCTGCCATGGGCTGGGCAGGGGAAAGCGGGGAAAAGAGTGTGAATGGGAGAAAGCCGCACTCTGGTCATCTCTGTCTCTGTCTCCAGTAGGCAGTTCACCAAGCATGTCCAGGTTCTGGGGTCATGCAGATCCCCTAGGACCCACTGGTTGCATTCTGGACCAGAATTGGGACCAGAGTTGGGAAATGTTCGTGGGGGAATGAATGAGACAAAAACTGAGGGGCTAAAGCCCCCTAGGGAGGAAAAAGGTGCATGGTGGGTGGAGAAGCAAGATGGCGCCTGCAGCCTCAGCTTATCTGTAATAATGGCAAGTGGCATCGTGGGTGCTGATTGTCTGGTACTTTGACCTTGAGGAGCTTGTAGTTCCCTGCTGGCAGGAACTTTTGGGCTTGTAAGAGTAGAAGAGCTTACCAGCAGCTTGGGAGTTCAATGACTGTCAGGAGACATGGGAAAAGGAGAAATAAAACACTCCACCTACCCTTCTCACTGGACTCTCAATCTGAAGGCAAAGGCCTGAGATTCTGGGGGCAGCTGGTGTAAGTCCAAAGGCTGGGGAGCCTGGAGTTGTTGTACAGGGTTAGGAGAGCTATAAATTTTCTATCCATTTATTTGTTTCAGATACAATAGAACATCCGTAAATTGACCAAGGGACTGTAACAAACTGGTCCACATGTGGAGATGGTCCAAATAAGGAATGACTGACACACACATGTGGTACATGTCTCATCTATGAAAATGAAGTCAATTTAAGGAGATGGTCAATGTAGGGAGGAGGTCAACTATGGAGGCTGTACTGTATTTTTTGTGGCACCCTTTATCCTTTTGTGTTTACTGTACAGATATACAGACAGCTTCATAACACATTGCCTGAAAAATTCAGTTTTAGCTATGTGTGGGTTACATGGGAGCCAATAATAATCCTAAAAGACATAATCCCAAATGATCAACGTCCCAAAAATATAATTCTGTAAAAAATAATCTTAAATTCTTTAAAAGCTCTTTTATATTAGCCTAGATAGAGTTGGAACACATTACTTCTTAGTAAAGTATCACAAGAATGGGGAAACAAGAATCCAATGTACTCAATTCTAATATGAAGCCAGTAGGGGATCTAATACATACCCATATACGAGAAAAATTCAAGTCAATTCAAGGGGTGGGGTAGGTGAATAAGGGAGCTGGCAGAGGGGAGGAGTGAGGAGGATGGGAAGTTATGATATATAGCACACATCGTGGGGAAGGGACATAATAATAGGAGGGACTTTGCCTAACAAATGCGAACAGTGTAACCTAATTCTTTGTACCCTCAGTGAACCTGAAACAATTAAAATAAATAACCCCTGCACTGTAATTCTTTAAAAAATATTTATTTACACTTTTAAAGTAGGATTTATTTGGGAAACATAAAAACTTGACAGAACACCTCACAGGCCATTTTACACAATAAAACGGGCAAAAACAACACACACAATTTTGTAAGCATTAACACTCAGGTGTACTAATGACAGTCACAACAGGTATATCGGTGATGAGCAGGCAACCTGTCTTTATAAAGAAGTAAGAAAAAAAAGGAAATGTATAAATGCTTATCATTATGGTTGGTAATTGTGAGCACCCAGCTTTATAACTGCAGTCATCTGAAATGCCATGACAGACAAAAGTCCTTCAATGAGATCAATCAAAAGCTGCCATGGTTCATCATAATTCATGCAGCTGCCCAAAGAGCAAAGACCTTGAAAAATTTTACCTTTCACAAATGCAGATGTACAAAAAGGACATATTTTCATGTATTTGAGTATGTTTTAATATTTTTATATGCACACACTATACACACAAAGTCAGTGTTGTAATAATGCACTTTTGTGGAATCAAATTTGCAAAAAATGCACGAAATGATTAGAATTCTCTCAAGTCTCTGTACAATTCATACCTCTGGTCCTGGAAGATGTGAAGATGAAATTCACAGCATAACAAATTGTAAAAAATGATGCTCACAATTTAAAATAGTAAAAAAAAAACTAAAAAGGGGGAAAAAATAAAATGAAACTAAGAAGAAAATTCAACATATGAAAAAGCATATTACAAGAATAGGTTATGGGCAATTGCACAGTGATAGTCCATAGAAGCCAGGTGACTTTTATTAACTATTGTTTGAAGTCTTGCATCACAATGAAAGGTGCTTTTTTTCTTGGAGGACTTGGCTGTCCTTGGAGAATATGTTCACAATCATTTTCTATGAAGTACTGTGTTGTGCCCAGGAGTTCCACAAAGACTACACTGCCAAACAAGCGAAATTTACAACAGAATGCTTTTATGGAAGAGCTAGCCAGTGACTGCCTCAGTATCCCAACATGGGGTTTCTTAGAGCAGCCCCGAGTGCTTTTTTTTTCTTTTATTAAATGATAGCTGTATACATTAATGCAAACATGGGGTACAGTGTAGTGTTTTCATATGCATTTTGAAATACTTTCAGCAAGCTGGCTCACATAAATTTCATGTTATTTGCATAGTCATTGTGTCAAAACATTTATATTCTAGTTCTAGAAAAGTTCACTTGTACCCTTGTTAGACAGAAATATAGGTGATCAAGGCTTGCTCTGCACCTTGGCTGGCATGCGGACTGTCCAGGTGCATTTTGGTGTGGTAGCAAGCAAGCATTGTACAGAAGCAGAATTCTGCAGTTAGTTAGCCATACATCATACATCTTTGTTTTAATATTTTCCTCCTATACATCTTAGTCTCTACCTTGTTTAAAAGTCAGCCCAGTAACAGTTGGTACTGCCTGGTTTGTTTCCCAGGGAGTTAGCCAAGCAAGAAACTGGGAATAAACTAGAAGCAAGAAATCAATTAGTACTTTCATTTATCTTAGGAGTGAACTAGACTTTTTATATTTCTTTTTCTGAAAGTTTGCACTCCAGAAATTTGCCAGAAGTTAACTGGTATTTTTCCATTATAGCCTAAGCCTGACACTTTTCTGCTTTAGCTTAGGCCCACTGGGCCTAACAGCTGCTCTTTTTGAACTTCTAGGGTTTGATACACACTGACATGAGTATTCCCTATTAAGTTTTCCCACCTGCTTTGCAATGTTTCTATGCTGTTTTGGATACTTGGAAATCTGTTCCACATGCAGGGCCCCAGCAAATTGGATGGTGGCCTTCAATACTTAGGGGAGATTTCCTCACCTAATCCATACGTCTCCTCTGGAAACACCTTCACAGAAACATTATGCTTAGCTTTCTAGGTATTCCTTAATCAAGACAAGTTGATACTGAAAATTAAGCCCACAAAGCCACTCCTTGTCAGTTGGGCATCCACATGTGTGCCTCCTTAAACCAACTCAATTTCCAAATAAAGACAAGAACAAGGTAGTAGTGCTGCCTAAGATGATGCAACTATCTTGCGATTGAGATTTTAGGTGCTTTAGGGATTTTGGACCTTAGGGATTTAAACTTCAGGTATTTTGACTTTTGGGGACTTTAGCATTAGGGATTATGTATTCCAGATTCTATCACTTGAGATTTTCAACCAAATGGGGTTTGACCAGACAATCACCTTCTGCTATGAGATCCCTGGAGTGCTCCTGCCCACGTTCCCACCAGTTTAGTCACTGCCCCTTGGGAATTCCTGGGTCTTGTTCCTGGGAAGACCAAGAGCAAGAATCCAATGTTTCTCATTTGATTTTGGGTTGAGGGTTGGAACCTTCCATCACCCATGCTAAGCCCTTTGCTATTCTTTTTTCATGTTTAATTTCACCAGTGGTCATCTTCTTTCTCAGCAGAGTACCAGTGGCAGAGGTTTTCTGTTTGTTCACTACAAAAGTACTAGAAAAGTGAACGCGACCATACCAAGATTTCCTCTCAAGGTCTTTGCTGGGATTTACTCATAACTCCTTATACCAAATGGCCTCTGCTGCTGGGGAAATCTTGAGTCTCAGCATTTGGCACTGGTGTTCCTGTTGGTGTTTGCAATGGCTTCCACAAGGGATTTGTTGACCTCCCTCTCTAACATGGGCTCAGTGATTACAGATTATTTTCCCTTTTTACTTGTTTCTTTAGTGATCAAGGACATTAGTAAACTGAAAATCTCTGGCTGTGAGGGCAACAGCAGAGGACTGTATAGGGCAGGGCTGTGGACTTACATGGAGATACCAGAGATGAACTGGAATTTATGGATGAGAGTGGTGGTGTTGAAGACAAAGCAAGTGTGGGTGAAGGCATTGAAGGAACAGTACGGGTGGACAGTACAGGGTAACCTGCCTCATTTTACCTGGAACAGAGAGCTAACTCTCCCATATATGACTCTACATCCCACCATCATTACTATCAGCTCTCCATCCACAAAGACCTATTTGCCCAATTTCCTGAAGATTGAAATAAAGAAAAATTTCCAAACCTCTTCAATTTGTCTGATTTATCCTTGAGTTGAGAAGAACTCCAGAACTTACTCATCTTATTTACACATTCACCTGTGAGTATATAAGCCTCCCTGGAAGTAGACTTACAGTAGGCCCTCAAGAGCCTGGGAACTGAGGCTCTAGTTACACTCTCCTCGGAATTACAGAATTGTCTGAATTCTAGCTTCTGAGAGGTCTGGCTGGGAATGCATGAGGAGACGCTCCCTGCCAGTGCAGATGGAAGGTTCCACACTGCTATGTTCTCCTCCCATGATCACCCACCAGCATGGGTGTTACTCTGCAGAGTTTTGCAGGCAGGGATGACAAACAGTGACATCTTTGTTTGTTGGGCATATAAGGCAGAGGAACAAGCATCTACAAATACCAACTTCATTTCACACAACATGGTCATTCATTAAACCCAGGGGCACAGGACTGAGGCTCTGCTCCTTTTTGGTCCCGTAGGAAATGTGGGGAATGGGAAGCTCAATGCTCCTCATCTGGTTTTTTATATTTTTATTTAATGTAAGGTTAAACATGATTGATTACATCGCGTGCATTTCTTAGGTAAGGTACAGCTTGAAAGGCAGCCCGAGGTGAGTGCCAAATGGGCAAAAGCAACAGTGGTCATGGTTTCTGCAAGGAGAAAGCCACTGGCCCAGGGCCCTGAGGCTGGAGAGCAGGGAAGGTTTGGTGGGGGTGGGTGGGTTTTGGCAGACTCTCTAGTTGACTGGTTAAGGCCAGGCCAGGGAGGGCAGTCTGTGAGCTCAGACGCAGAACTCTAGGAGCCACAGTCACATCAGTGGTGTGTTGATGGGTCAGGGTCACACTTACAAGGTCAGCTAGGTGTGACCTCAGGGCCCTCATACTGGCCCCTCCAAAACAGCTGGTAGAGCAGGAGCGCGCCCCCTAGAAGGATGAGCACTCTGATCCGCCAGCTGCTCCCGCGGGACTTGTGCCACTTCTGCCACTCCCACAGCCCGGACAGCAGCCAGGACCCCTGGGCCCTGCGTATGCGGGCCGCCACCTTCTCTGCCACCCTCTGGAGCCGCTCCTCGGGGCACTCCCAGTGCAGGGTCTGCACCAGGCCGTACACCTCGTTGGTGTAGTGCGTGTCCCCGTTCTCCCTGACCAGGCTCCCCACCAGCCCCAGCAGCTCTTCTGCCTGGGCCTCCTGCTCCTGGCCGCCGGCTCGGTTGTCAAAGGCACAGACTCGGCCACTGCACGCGGCCACCAGCTCCCGCAGGGCGCGGTTCTCTGTGTCACGCACATAATCCTGCAGGGAGCCGCCAGCCAGGTCCTCCTTCCTGGTGAAGACGATGACCGTGCGCTCCAGGACGCCCTCCCCGAACATCGCCCTCACGGTCCTCACGGCCTGCTGGTCCTGGGCGGTGAACCGGCCCAGCTGGGTCACCAGCAGCAGCGCGTGGGGTCCCGGGGCGGAGAGCAGGTAGCAGCGACCTCTCTCCTCCCACACGGGCCCTGCCTCGGGGATTTCAAAATTGAAAATGTCCGGAGTGTCGACGATTTCCACGCGCCACTTTTCCCACCACCGGACCCCGACGGCGCAGGCTCTGGTCACAGACGTGGCTCCGAGCCTGGAGAGGAAGCGCCGCTGGCCCAGGATGCTGTTCCCGGTGGCGCTCTTGCCTGCTCCTGTCTTCCCAGCCAGGATGAGCCTCAGCGTGGGCTCCTGCAGGGCCCGGCTGTCCTCTGCTGAACCTGTGGCAAAATATGTATAACTTTACAGGAGGTAAACCGGCTTCCCCTTGGGAACTGTAATGTTCTTGCCCTTAGAAAAGAAAAAGGGAAGACTAGAGCTTTGAGCTCCATCGCCGTCTTTTCCCTCTGTACACAGATTGCCTGTGTGCACCCGCAGGTTCTCCAACCATGGTTGAACATCTCAGAAAATGTCTCTTTAGGATTTCACGCCATTACCTCATCCTACATCATCTCTGGTCAGCCACAGACGTGCAGACCCTTTTCATACCTCACAACTTAAATGGGCTCTGTAATATTCTCCAAGATACCAGGAGAAAGGCAGTGGAGGGGAGGGAGGGTGTGGGGCGGTTGAGTGGACGGTGGGTAAGAGCAGTGGGAATGTGGAGGGGGATGGGGAGGGGAGGTACTACGTGGTGGTGAAGAGCTTTCTGGAATCCCAGATACCCTGGTTTGAATCATAGCCCTGCCTTGTGCTAGGCATGTAACCTTGGGGAAGTTGCTTAATCTGAGCATTAAACCTGTTCTGAAAATATGGAAATAGTAATACAGTGTTTGGGTGAGGCATGGTGGCTCATTCCTCTAATCCCAGCACTTTGCCAGGTTGGGGTGGATCACACGAGCCCAGGAGTTTAACGTTTCAGCGAGTTATGGTGTGCCACTGGGCTGCAGCCTGGGTGACAGAGCATGCCCTATCTCTAAAATAAAATAAGTCATTTCTCATAGGACTGTTGAGAGTTATATCTCTTTTCTTTCTTCCCTCCCTCCTTTCCTTTTCCCTATCTCTCTTGAACTTCTGCATAAAAAGAATACCCATTTTTAATCCTTCATTCTTATTTTCTAAACATTCTACCTGGTAAATAAGGTTCACCTTTACCCACAATTTTATACCCTCTGCATCTTCTTCCAGGAATATCAGAGTAGGTTTTTTACCCTCATATTATACTGTGGGAACTGGGGAGCAAGCTCATCGAAGAATTTAACATCTCACAGCAGAGATACAGCTAAAATGCAAATCTCTGGGTTCTTACTGTTTTACTCCAAGGTTGAGACACCTCTGGGACTTACCACTAATCAGGCTTGAGTAAGCCCCATTCTCCCCCTTGTCCTAAGCTCAAGCCCTGGGTGGCATGAGAGATATGGTCTTACCATAGACATTTTCTTCATCTCTTGCCATCTTCCATCCTCTCATGCTTACCTGAAAGAGCCCCAAACACAATTTTTTCATTCATTTATTTATTCCTGAAAATGATACAACCACTTACAGTGTGTCAGGCAAAGTCCAAAAAGCTGGTTATAGCACAGTGAAAAGATCTGGTTTCTGTCTGAGAAGATCTAAAAATCTAGATGTGTGTCTTGGGGGAGGGGTAGGTGGCTAGAGAAAAAAACAAGTAAATTTTGTCAATTATAATAAATTGTGTTAATTCTTTTTTAGGGAGAATATCAGAATTTTAGAGAATAACATTGGAAGTGTCAGCATCTTGATCTTTGGAATGACAATGTGAGAACATTTGGGGAATTTGATTTGCCTTTTTAGAGACCCCAGATGCAAATGGTAGAGGGAAGATTATAACATTTATCCTATGCCAATGGGTAATCTTTAGATATTAATCTTTCCCAATGTAATTTTATGTCAGTGGCATAAGCTATAGATACTAAGTTTTTCTAGGGGATTCAGCAGCCAGGGAAAACTTAGGTGAACTCTGAGATCAAGAAAATTTACTCAATGACTTAGGGGCCTACCTGCCTCAGGGTGGTTGTCCTGGGAAACAGTTAAGAAGAAAACTGGAGTTTTTCTTTTGGTAATTGGAAAACAGACATATCTCCCAAGCAGAGCTAGAGGGTCTCTGATTCTGCTCTCACAAAGCCAAATGTCTATTTGCTCATCTAAATATGACCTCAGTGCTGGAGAGACTGGAATACTCCCCTTCAATCCTGATGTTCTTGCCCCTTCCCAGTATGAGGTTTTTCTAACCACAGTGATTGTGCTAAACTCTTACATTATTCAATATAATCAAACACACTATGATCCAGTTTGCCCGACCACAGGAGCACCTGAGTGCAACTCCCCTCATCTATGTCTCCAGCCTTGTATCCAGCTAATCCTCTACCCAGTTAGCTACTCCACAAAGAGCAGATTTCAGGGCCTTTCAACCTACCCTGGGCATATGAGCGTCCCCCGCTCTGGCCACTCCAGGTACCTGTGTTCTCTCCCTGCGACACCACACCCAGGGGAAGAGCAGAGAGGGAGGCTGACTAAGTAACTGTCTCTGGTGAGGGACCCTGAGAGCAGGTTTGCCTTGTACTCAAGCCAAGGCTGCTTCTGATTCTGTAGAAATTTCACAGCCCCTCCCCAAAGCCTTCAGTAAAGTTTACCCCTCAGGACTTAGAAGATTAATTATTTTGGATGTAGAAATCAGCAGATTCCATAACAGATGACAGAGCAGAAATGAACAGACAGCTGTAGGATTCAGAGCAAAGAGCAAGAATTTAACCTAATCAAGAAGTCCTTGTCAAAGATGAAAGTGAGAGCATGCTGGGGAATCCATAGAACTCTGGGCAGGCCACTGGAACTTTCCTATGGAAAATTGGAATGAGGGTTGAAGTAATTTAAAATAATTTTTTAGAGGGAAATAAGCTCCAGAGGTGATGAATGAATCTTAATTATTGAGGAAAGTAAACATGTAGAATCCTATATTCTTAATACTTAGAGACCTCAAAATTATTTAGGTCTTTGTCTCCCTAACTTGCTGTTTTCCAGAATTCTTTAAGCATTTTTTAAAAATTTTACATTTCTCAGATCCATCCCCAGAGATTCTGATTAATGAATCAGATGTTTCTGATGTCATCAGCACACAACCCAGAGTTTGGAAATCCATTAAGTTTTCAAACCCTTTCATTGTACAGAAGAAGAGGTTCCTGCGCCTGTGGTGGGAGAAGCTTGAATCAGGGATGCTCAAGGAACCATGCAAGAAAAGGGGTTGAAGATGAAGTTCAACCTCAGATGTCTCCTGAGAGGCCCCTGCTGCAGACAGCAAGGAGAGGGGAAAGTTCAAATGTATCCAGCCTGTCAGACTATAACTCACCCCAAGGTTAGATTGCTTATAGAGCCACAGAGATATATTTTACCTGGGGTGAATACGCAGCTTGGGGAACTGTATTTTGTTCCTGGAAGTGGCTCCAGCATATTCTTCTCTTACCATGTTAAGGGAGTGTAGAAGGAGATAGGTTTTATTCCCCTACAAGAATGGACGCATCTAGAGCTGGAGAAGATGCTGCTTCCTTTGAACCTAATCTATTTGAAATTTAGAACATCCTTAAAAATCTGGAAGCACGATCTTGACTGATCCAGACCTGGCTCACCCTCATGGTGCCTTGTAGATGGCAGGGGCTCAGGGAGTAAACACTGTCTAGGGACCACCTTCCTTCTGCTTCTCCGAGCAGCCCCCACCCCTGCCAGCCCCCAGGCTCAGGCTCACCTTTCCTGGTGTCAGGCTCTGAAGTTGACTGCAAGAAGCCTGGACCTATGTTTTCCCTTTGCTGTGAGTGAAGTAGGTTCTTTCCTGCCAGCACTCAGAGGAAGTCACTCAGAATTCAGAACTCAGGAAGCTCAGGGCCGGCCCAATCGTGAAAACTTTAAAGAGACAGAAACATTTCCCATTACGCTGTGAGAGTTGGTAACCTTTCTCCTACAGAATCTACCTCCAGCTATGACTAAGCTGTGTGCCTGCCAGCAGGACCCAGTGATATCAAGTATCTTGCCACACCCTAAGAAGGGGCGAGCAAGTGAGCCCTGAGGCCTGACTTTACTGCTAGATTTGGTTATTGAGCTAATATTTAGTTGCCTTTGCCCTTTAAGGACTTTCCCCCTTTATAAAATAAACTCAGAGAGTCTCTTGCCACAGAATAAAGAACACTACAGCTGTTTTCATTGTCAGTCCATTGATTGGACTTCCATGTGACCAGTGCCATCAATCTAGTCTGCCATAAAAGCATGGAAGTAAAGTCCATGATTCTCTGAGAAAGGAGGTTTTCTTAGCTATTGAAGGACTTGAGGCTAGCTGGTATGTTGAGGATGAACATCTTTGCACTGAATTTCTATTAGCCTTATTAGGAGGCTTAGTCTAGTCAGCTACGTTGGTGTCACCAATTCAAGTTGTTCTGTCTTCCCTCAAGAGCATCATGAGATCGGCAAAAGAGGCAATTGTTGGGCAATGAGAAGGCTGCAGTGGTACTGGCTCGATACATGGTTAGGCCACTAACTACCTACGTGACCTCTCCTAACTCAAACTTTCTGGAGTTGACTGTCCTTCTGTACAGGAAGGGAGACAACTTGAGTCTTCTTCTGCTGGTATCTGCTTTTTTACCTTTTTCATGGCATCTCATCTTTCTCTAGTAGTGGAGAGATGCAACTTCCACTGTTTCCCATCTTTTGGGGGGACAGTCTCTTGGATGACTGACATCTCTACTCAGCACTGCTGAAGTAGAACCTCTCATTCTCCCAGAAGATCAGCAGAGCTGGACTGTCCTAAGGCAGGTTGGGTTTCTAGGGCATGCAGCTTAAGGAGACCCTCATTCTCTGTGCCACTCAAATGGGGACCCTGCAGAAGCATGGTCTTGAGAGAAAGTGCTTTCTTAAGAGTGAGACACCTGGAGCTCCTGGCTGGCCTCAACCTACCCCAAGCCATGTAGATCAGCTTTGAGGAAGTCTATGACACATGACATGTACCTTTCACAAAGATGCTTTCAGTGCCTCTTCAATAACCTGTTGCCATTTGCTGTTTCCACACATGCATGTGTTGTCTTATTTCAGCTACTTAAAACTCTCTGTCCTGAGGGTTCATCTGCCTACAATGTTTGGGTAGTGCATGGATTAGGCTGAAGTTGTCAGAGCAAATGTAAAGATCTTCCCACAAAGAAAACTCTAGATCCAGATAGTTTGTTTTTTTTTTTTATTGAATGGTAACTGTGTACATTAATGCACTTCTGGAGTACAGTGTGGAGTTTTCACACACAATCCGAAACACTTCCATCAAACTGGTTAACATAGCCTTCTTGTCATTTTCTTAGTTATTGCTTTAAAACATTCACATTCTACTCTTAGAAAGATTCACTTGTACCCTTGTAAGATAAACTGCAGAAGTGATCCCTCCAATTCTCCTCCATCCACCCATTGATCCCTCCCTTCTCCCTCCCCCCTCCCCATATCCTTAGGCTATAATTAGGTTATAGCTTTCATATAAAAGGTATAAATTAGTTTCATAATAGAGGTGTGTACATTGGATACTTTTTCT